CTCAATCAGGTTGCGCTCCCGATACAGTTCCCGGTCGTATTCCAGGTTCCCTCCGGTCGATTGGGCGGTTATACCGCTTCGGCTCTTGTCCCTGACCAAAGGCCAGTAGCGATTGCTTTCTACCCCTTGTCGGCGATGACCGCCCAGTCTCGATACGGTCAGCAGAGGTATGGCTTGGGAGACCATCCGCCCGCTGGCCCCCGGTATCGAGAAACGAACGGCCGCCCTGGGCATCAACAACGAGATGAACCTTGGTGCTCAGTCCGCCGCGGGAGCGGCCCAGAGCCTCACGTTGGCCCCCCCTTTGCCACAGACCGCCTGCTGATGGGCCCGCACTATGGTGGAATCAATCATCACGTATCTGTTGTCCGGGTCCTGCAGCAACACTTGGAAGATCCTCTCCCAGATTCCGGACCTGGCCCAGCGAGTGAAACGTTTGTGGACGCTTTTCCAGTTGCCATACCCAGGGGGCAAGTCTTTCCACTGCGCGCCGCTGCGCAACACCCACAGGACGCCGTTGACGAAGGTTCGGTTGTCATTGGCCGTAACGCCGACCCAACCGGGACGCCCCGGCAGGAAACTCTCCACCTGCCGCCATTGAGTGTTGCTCAACTCGTAACGCTCCACGTAAGTCCCTCCACCGCACTGCACTTGCTCAGTTACACTCTACTCCTTGCGTGCAGTTCCTCTCCGACCACTTCAATCAGATTTCACCCAATTGTCGATTAGCCCTGGTTCCTCCTTTCGGCGTGTTCCCGGGTCGTTCGCTGGGATGGATTTGTGAGGTTGTTTCGGCCGGGTCTGCTTCCGTAATGGTCGCTCGTAGGCTCTGGAGTGTGCCGGTGTGCTATCGTGGGTTTGGAGCAGCCGGGATTTGGCCTCCGGTAATCGGCGCTCCCAGGGAGTTTGATGACTGCTTTTGTTCTGCGGATCACAGATGAGTCATCGGGTCTGGCTTCGGCAATGAGGCTCCATGACCCCGGGATCGCGCTCTGACGCTGGGTCGCCTATTGGACGTCCGGTTCCAAGACTGGGACGGCTCCGACCCCTTCGGTATCGGTGTTGCCCGAGCATAGCCACGGTTTGCGCTGTCTGCAGGACCTGGTGTACCGGTTGGGTTCTGGGTCGGTCGCCATGTGGCCTGGGGTTGGATTCCTTCAGGACGGCATTCCGTTGGACCTGGGGTCTGGGGCAGTGGCCCGGAGGGCGGTTGCCGGCGACGTCGAGTTCAACCTGGTGGATCTGACGTTGGATCGGAGCGGCTCGGACTATGGCCGGGACTGGGCTGCTTTCCACGCCCGCCGCTGGGGGCTCGCGGCTGATGAGTACGAGGATTTTGTGGCCGGCGCTCTGGAGGCCGGTGGCCGTGATGAGGGTGTGTTGGATCTTGATGCGACGGATAGTGGGCTGGGTTTGGTGCTGGCGCTGGCCCGTCGGATCTTCGGGAGCGACTTCGAGAACTATTCCCGCTTCGTCGATGGTGGGCTCCGTTTCCGCACTGGAGATCAGGCGGTGCTCAACATGGCGGCTGGGTACGGCGGGGTTTGTGCGGAGAAGGTGCAGGCTCTGAAATTCCTGACCGATCATTACGGTCTGGATCGGAGTACCTCCTGGCTGGCCCGGCGGGCGGCCGTCCGCCGGTGGACCGGCTCAGGGAACTGCTCTGCACGCTGGATTTCAGGTTCGCCAAGCGGCACATGCGCTACTGGCATCATCTCGCGCTTTTGTACTGGCTGGACGGCGAGCCGTTGGTGGTGGACGCCACGGGCGGCTGTTGCCCTTCGTCTTCAGTCTTGGTGGCGCGGCCCGGCGTCTCTTGGATTTGGGCGAGCCGGTGCGGGTCAGGATGGTGGGCGAGCCGGAGGACTACTGCTATCACCGGGTTGATCAGGACGTGCCGCTGGGTCTCCTGCTGGCGCTGGAGTGCCGGCTGGACGGGGCGGACATGGTGCAGGTCTTTGAGAACGAGCTGGGCCTCTATCTTTCCGAGCGGTATTACGTCATGCCGTTGCCGTACCGGAGCCAGGCCGAATATGGTCGCTTGCGTGCCGAGTACGAGGAATATTGCCTCCGTCTGGGGCTGTGCTGGGATGTCAGTCCCGATTGGGCTCTGGACGGCGCGGTGGGTCGCCGGTTCGCCGCCGGTTGTCCCGCCGTTGCCGCCGCGGTCTTGGGTTGCCGGGACCGATTGTTTGAGCGCTACGACGACTGGCTGGAGGCAGAGCACAACGCTGGGCTGGTGGTCATCGACCTGCGGGGTTCCGGCGGGCGATGAGTGTCCGGCCCGGCTTCTGGCGGGGTTTTCTCCGGGGGCGGGTTCGGGCCCGGGCGTGAGGGTCGTCTGCTGGCTCGGATACGCGCCTTTCGGGATGAGGCCGGGGTTGGTGAATGGCCGGACGTCCGGCTACGGGACGTGGCACGTTCGCTGGCGGACTTGGCTTCCGACGAGGGTCTGGTGCGGGGGTTCGCGGTGGTTGACGAGACGGTGCGGCGGCGGCTGGGCTGCTGGCGGGTCTTCGGGATGGATCTTGAGGCTGAGCCGGTTGCGGTTGCCCGGGCCAGGCGGGCTTGGTCTGAGGCTGGCCCCGGCGGCTGCGGCGACGTGCTGTTGCCGGGGGAGTTCTACCGGGAGGTTCGCTCCTGGCTGGGGAGTGGCCGGAGCTGCTGTTTGAGCCGACGGATCGCAGCTCTTGGCGGGCCTGCACCTGTGGACGGGCCGGGTGGTCGAGTTGGCGTCCGGGGAAGGTAAGACGGTTTCCATCGTCTTCCCGGCTATGTTTCACGCTCTGTCCGGGCGCACGGTTCACGTTGGTACCGCCAACGACTATCTGGCCGCCCGGGACTGGGGTTCTCTGGAGGCAGTGTATCGTGCGCTGGGCGTAACGGCGGGGTACGTGGTGGCCAGTATGGACGCTCCGGCGCGTCTGGCGGCCTATGGCTGTGGTGTGGTTTACGGGACGGTTCGGGAGTTTGGGTTCGACTATCTGCGGGATCAGCTGGTATCAGTGGCGAAGGACTGTGTGCAGGGGCCGCTGGACGTGCTGATCGTCGATGAGGCTGACCAGGTACTTCTGGACGAGGCGGTTACGCCTCTGGTTATTGGCGGTGACCCGGTGTTGGGACGTGGGGTGATTGTCCGGGCGGAGCGGGTGGTCCGTGAGTTGGTGGACGAGCAGCGCCGCATGGCTGGCAGCTTTCGGCGGAGTTTGGCCGGATTGGGCGACGGTGTTGGCGACGGAGATCGGGCTCTCTGGTTGGCCCGGGGGTTGGTGGCCGACCCCATTTGACTCCGACGTGAGGGCACTGGTTGCCGGTCGGGCCGGGCTATGGCGCCGGGTCCGTCGTCTGCTGGATGAGGATGGGTCGGGCCGGCCGGCTCCGGCCGTGGTGGAGGGTCTGTATTGTCTGGTGGATCCCGAGGGTCGGTACTGCTCTCTGCAGCCCGCGGGGCTGTCTTTCCTTGAGGAGCGTCTGGGGGACCTGTTTTTTGCGGGTCAGGATCCGTCGGGTTGCTGGAGGGTCGGTCGGGGCTATTGGGTCAGGTGTATCAGTTGCTGCGCGCTCACCTGTTGCTGCGGCGGGACGTTGACTACGTGGTGGACGATGGTCGTGTGGTGCTTGTGGACCGGGAGACGGGTCGGCCCAGGCTTGACTCCCACTACCGGGACGGTATGCAATCTGCGGTGGAGGCGAAGGAGGGTTTGGTCGTTCATCCCGACCGTCGAAATCTGGCGGAGTTGGGAGTGCCCGGGCTGGTGCGGCTCTATGCTGATGTGTGCGGTGTGACGGGAACGGCAAAGTCCTCTGCGGACGAGTTCCGGCGCCTTTACGGGTTGGAGGTGGTGGTGGTGGCGTCGGATCCTGGGTTCAGGCGTTTCTTGGGCAGCCGGGTGTACCCGAGTGCTGATGATCAGCTTGACGCGGTGGTTGATGAGGTGAAGTACTGCTGGGTCTTCGGGTCGGCCGGCGCTAGTGTCCTGTCGCACTGTGGAGAGGTCCCTGCTGATCAGTCGCCGGCTTGAGGCTGAGGGACGTGCTCCACGGGCTTCTGAACGCGCGTACTGTGGTTGGGGAGGTCTCGGTGGTGGGAGCGGCGGGGACGCTTTGGGCGGTTACGGTGGCCACCAACATGGCGGGGTCGTGGGACCGACGTGGTCTTGTCGCCGGGCATCGATGACCGAGTGCTGGAGGGCTTCGTCGAGGTGTTGAGGCTCCGCTGCACGGCGGGTGAGGGTGAGGCGGTTGTGGTGCGAGCGAGCACGGGAACCGAGGCGGCGCTCTTGGCCCGTCGGCTGTCTGGGGAAACTGACCTGGTCCTGTTGCGTTGTTGGGGGGGGTAAGGGCCGGTTGTTGGTGGGTCCGTCCTGGGCTGATTCTACTTGGGCTGATTCTTCATGCGTGCCTGCTCATTCTGAGCTGGAGTTTGGGTTGGGGTTGCACTTGATCAGCACCGAGTTCAACGAGTCGCCGAGGGTGGCGTTGCAGCTGGAAGGCACGGGTGGGCCGACAGGGGGCGTTCGGGTCGGGGCGCAGCCTGCTGGTGGCCTCAGACCCGGGGCTGAGCGGCATGGACTTTGGGGAGTTGGGCACTGACGACGCGGGGCGTGCCTGCTGGCAGGGTCGAGCGGTGGATATGGGAGCTGGAGCGGCAACGTGAGGCGGCCCGTCTGGATGCTGCCCGGGCCAGGGACGTTAGCGGTGGAATATGGTGCGGTGATGGACCTCTGGGCGCACAACTACTACCGGGTCAGGCGTGATCTCGTGTCGGGTTCGGCGGGGTTGCTGGATGCCTGGGTCGCGGTGGGGTCTCGGGAGCTGTGGATGGCCTGGTTTCTCGTCATTTCCCGGGGCTGACGGTGGACGGTTACGCCGAGCGTTTCGCGGCTTTGTCCCATAATGTGAGGAAACCTTTGGGTTGGACGCTGGGGCTGCCTTGGGTTGTTCTCTCAACGACCTGGGTTCGCCCGTTGGGGCGACTGGTGACTGGACGCTTGGAGGATATGCGCCGGGTCTTGGGTCGGGCGCGTTTCTCAGAGTTGGTGCGGTTGCTGGCCCTTGGGGTGGGAGACGAGCTGTGGGAGGTTCATCGGGAGCTGTTGCGTGGCATGGGCACGGGTTCCCGGCTCGGCGGTTTGGAGTTACGGACTGCTTTGGCGGAATACGTGATCTGGGCCGACCGGCAGTGGTGGGAGTTTTGTGGAGGTGTGGCGCGGGGTATTCCTGTCGCGTCTGTGCCTTTTTCCCACTGGACGGTCTGGACGGTGCTGGGTCTGCTGACCCTCCGGTGGTGGTGCCCGACCTGATGGGGTTGGTAGAATGATCTTGAAACGCTCTCTGCTGGACGCAGGAAGGAGATAAACGCCATGTCTGGAAATGTTAGCCGGAAAGTGCTGGCTGTTTCGGCCGGCGGGTTGCTGGTTACGTCGCCGTTGCTGGCGGCCTGTACTCCGGTTGCCGCTGCGGAGCCGGCGGGATACCGAGATTGGGTGGCCACCGACGGCGCGGCGGGTCGGATCAACATGGACGATGTGCAGGCGGCGTTTCAGGAATCCACCAGCGCCACCGATTTTGAGACTCGGGTGAACGAGATCTACGAGGGGGACGGGGTTATTCTGGTGCGGGTTGCCCAGGAGACGGACCGCATGGTGCTCGAGGGCTGGGAGGACCTGGACGGGAACTCCGATGTTGACGATGTGGTGGATGACCTGTTGTTCTCCATCGTGCGGCAGGACGGCCAGCACGAGATGGTTGGGCATCACGCCAACTCGTACTATCGCAGCAGCTTTGGAGGTGGGGACTTCCTCTTTTTCTACCTGCTGGCGGGTGGCCTGAGAGGTAACAACTACTACTATCAGACGCCTTCGCAACGTGGGCCGGTGCTGCGTCAGCAGCGTGACACCTACCGCGGGGAGTTCCCGGTACCGGGCCCAGCAGGGGTCGAACCGGGGTTACACCACACGTCAGCAGACCTATCAGGGTTCTCGTTACCAGGAGGCTGGTCGCAGTTTGGGGACCAGCCGTTCCTCCTATCAGACGGTGCGAAAGACCACCGGCACCTTCCGGAGCAGCGCTTCCTTCTCCGGTGGGCGCAGCGGTTCCGCTCTCGGGGGGACTGGCGCGGGCTCCAGGTCTTCGATCTCCAAGGGTGGCGGTGGTTTTGGGTTCGGCGGGTTCAGCGGTGGAGGCGGCCGCCGCGGCGGTGAAGGTTGATCATGCGCTGGCCCGCTTGGTGCGAGTGGGATGAGGCCGATGTCCGGGGGTAGCCGGGGCGGGTTGTCGGTTTCGGTTTGGACTGACCGCTTTCCCTACGACACCTACTTGGACGCGGTCCTGTCCGATGATGCCCGTGTCCTGACGCTGCGTTCGTTGTTGGATGGGCTTTTCCCCGCGAACGCTTCCGAGCGGCTGAGGTGTTGGCTGGACTGGATTGCGTCGGCAATCCTGACCTGCCCGCCTGTTACGCCGAGCTGTTTGAGCTGGTGGGCCAGTGGCGTGAGGGTTTCTGCCAGTTGTCGTTTTACACCGGGCGTGGTTGGGGCTCTCTGGCCCAGGCTGACGTTCCGATTGCCCCGCGCATCCACGGCCCGGCCTTTTGCGCCGGCCCGGCCAGCGGGGGAGGTGATCTGTTGCTGCGTCTGGCGCCGTGTTACCGTCCACTGGATTGGGGGGTGGCCGCTGGTTACGTGGGCGACTTGGACGAGTGGTTGGACTGGATGCGGGCCTGCCTGGTTCTCTACTTCGTGGACAAGTGCGCTGGTCGGGTGCCATCTCCGGCGGCGCTGGATCGTGGAGAGCCGTGCTGGCCGGTGGTTGCCGGCCTGTACCAGCGGCGTTTGCTGGGACTGGGCTCGGACGGGTTCTCCCGGGTGACGGAGTTGGGCCAGTCTTTCATCGGCTGGTTGGTGGCTGAGACTGAGGGCCTTATCGATCGATTCGACCTCTATTCAGACGTCCTGTGGGGTGAAGGGGGGCAGCCGGTGGAGTTCGGGACCGGGATGGGCGACGACCTGCGGGTTCTGGCGCTGATGGCGGAGGGGCTGGATCCGCTGCGGGCCGTGTTCTTGCTGCAGCTCTACGACGGGACTCCCGACCCTTGGGCAGATTCTTGGGCGTCGGTGGTTGGCGACGTCCGCGCGTTTGACCATCTGCTGGAGCCGGTGGTGAACCGCGCTTTTCCAGCGCCGGATGCCGGGGTTCTGTCTGTCATTATCGAAGCGGCCAGGTCGTGTTGGATGCTCGGGCGGCAGCGGAGCAGGCCCGTGTTGCTGACGCTGGGATACGGGCTCGGCTGCTGACGCTCTGAGCGTGGGCCGGCTTTGCTTGTTTCCTCAGATGGCAACCAGCAGGATGAGGGCGGAGCTGATGGCTACTGTGCTCTCTACGATGGCGACTCCGATGTTGCGGCCTGCTGCCAGCGCTTCGGAGGTCTTGGTTTTCGGCAGTATGAGGGTGTCGACCGCGAGCCGGATCAGGTAGAGCATGGCGAAGCCGAAGATGGCGAAGACTCCGAATTCGATGAGGCTTGTCGTCCAGCCGAAGAAGTCGCCGAAGCTGGCCTTGAAGATCACGAGTCCGATGGCGACCAGGTTGCCGCCCAGGGCGATGCCGACGGCGGGGTTGCCGGATTCGATTTCGTCGTGGATGTTGAAGGGCGTGGCCCACTCGTAGAACAGGGCAAACAGGATTAGGGCGGTGAGGCCGAGGCCGAAGAACGCCAGGGCGTTGAGGGGGCTGCCGTAGCCGGCGATGGCTCCGGCGATGGCTAGTCCGGCGGCGACGTTGATTCCGAATTCTGCGGCGGCGACGCCCACGTTTTGGTCTTCGACGATCTCCTTCTCTACCTGGAACTTGTAGAGCACCAGCCGGTCGGTGAGGGGCCGTACCAGGTTCAGGGCGACGACGCCGGCCATGGCGTAGGCGAAGGTCCATAGCAGCTGCATCCCGAACGCCCGGTCGATGCCCAGGCCGGTGTTGGGGTTGGCGTCCCACTGCTGGGGTTGGAATACGGCGCCGACGAATACGATGATCACGCCCAGGAGGTAGCCGGTGAGGCGCAGGGCGACGGCAGTGTTCTTCTTGGTAACGATCTCCTCTTCGAGCTTGTGGCGGGTGACGATTTCGCGAGCGAGGGTTGCGAGGACCAGTATGGCCACTCCCAGCGCGACGTAGATCAGTCCGCGCGGCAGGAATGTTAGGATGTCAATCAGGGTGTCCATTTTGGTCTGCTCCGTGTTGTTGACTGGTGGCGCCGGCTGGCGCGTTGGGATCTTTAGTCCAGGGTGGTTGAGGGTAATGCCGGGGGATGGTAGACGTTTTAGGACCGGTACAGGGTCAAGTCGTCCGGGTCGATCACGTCGTTGAAGTATGCCTCAAAGGGTATGCCCTCGGCCTTGGTGACCGCGAGTGTCTGGGTGCCGTCGTCGGCGATGAAGTCCCACAGGTAGAAGCCCTGCTGGTGGTCTGGCTGGGTGAAGGCTTCGAAGCTGTTCCGGTAGGAGTAGCGCTTTCCCTCGATGATGACTCCGTTGTTGAGGGAGTGCTCTTCGTCCAGGGTGATGAGTTCGCCTTCGGTCAGGCCGATGGCTTCCAGGCTCAGGGGTTGGCGGTCGTGGGCGGTGGTGACGAACAGGCCGTCTGGTGTTTTCGTGTATTCGATCCAGACCCTGCGTTGGGAGTTTGGCCGTTACTATCTCGGTCCACTCGCCGCCGGTGCCGGAATACCGTTGGACGCGCTCTATGATCAGGTAGGGGTCGTCGTGGTCCGGGGCCTGGCCTGGGAAGGTGACCACGTCTCCGACTCCGGCGAACGCCAGGTTGTTCTGGTCCGGCTGGTGGGCGGGAGTGTTGGTGGGGCGCCGTTTGTGGCGGCCCAGGATGCGGTTGATGAGACTTGGTTTCCTTGTCACGGCGGCTCCTCCCGTTGTAGGATTTAACTCATAATGGGGTACAGTGATCATTATAATCTGGCCTGGGTGCCGTTTACACTTATGGTGTGTCCGTTGTTGGAGGTGATTGGATGCGACTGTTGACTGCCGGCGGAAGCGTGTTGGGCGGGTTGTTGCTCCTGGTTTTGGGGATACTGATGCTGGTTGGTATCCTGGACTTTCGTGGTCCGGATCGGGGGAGTGTTGTGCGTGGTGGTCGGTTTGGTGATATTCGTCCGGGCCTTCACGTCGCGAAAGAGAGATTATTGACGGGAGCTGGAGCTGAGCTCCGTTCCGTCTTGCACTTGATTCAGGAGGATTCTGAAGATGGGAATGATGTCCAGGATGTCCACGATAGTGAAGTCGAAGATGAACCGGCTGCTCGACTCGGCGGAGGATCCGCGGGAGACGCTGGATTACTCCTACGAGCAGCAGTTGGAGATGTTGCAGAGGGTGAAGCGGGGTGTGGTCTGAGATGGTGACCGCTCGTCGGCGCATCCAGCAACAGGCGGACCGCGTGCGCACCAACGTGACCCGTCTGGAGCGGCAGGCTCGTCAGGCGGTGGAAGCCGGGCGTGACGACCTGGCGCGTCTGGCCTTGCAGCGCAAGAACGAATCTGAGCTTGAGCTTGAGGGCCTGGACGAGCAGCTGGCCAACATGGAGTTGGAGCAGGAGAAGCTGACCGCGTCGGAAGCCAGGCTGCAGGCCAAGGTCAGTGCCTTCCGTAACCGGAAGGAGATCATCAAGGCCCAGTACTCGGCGGCCGAGGCCCAGGTCCGGATTGGGGCCGCCTTGGGTGGTATCTCCGAGGAGATGGGCGATATGTCGCTGGCCATCCAGCGCGCGGAGAACAAGACCGACCAGATGCGGGCGAAGGCTGGCGCCATCGACGAGTTGGTGGAGGCCGGAGTCTTGGACGATCCGACCGGCACCCGGGACGACATTGATCGGGAACTGGCGAAGATCTCGGTTTCGCAGAGCGTGGAGTCGGAGTTGGCTGCTCTGAAGGTAGGGAGCGCCGAATCTGATTCCAGCCCGAAGGCGGAGGGATAGTCATGATAGTGCGGATATTGGGTGAAGGTCAGTTCACGCTGCCTGGTGCTGCCATCGACGGCCTGAACGCCATCGACAACCGGATGGTGGATGCGGTGGCTGCTGAGGATGGTGGCCTGTTCAGTTCGCTGCTTGCCGAGATGCACGACTTGGTGCTGGAGCAGGGTGAGGCGGTGCCGGTGGATGAGCTGGTGGAGTCGGATATCATCGTGCCGGGTCTTGACCTGACCCTGGCGGAGGCGGCGCACATCTTCATCGGCGACGGCTTGGTGCCGGGGTAGGGTCTGGTTGGTTCTGGTGTGCTGTGGGTATTGCAAGAGCCCGATCCCTGGTGGTCGGGCTGTTTTGTGGCCCGTCCGTCATGAGCGAAGGTCCAAGGTGGGTCAGTCGGCGCTGGCTTCGTGGTGGACTGGAGCGGGAGAGAGGGGTCTGCGGACTGAACTGGGGTCGGTTCCCGAGCGGATAGCGGCCATGATGCCGGCTGCTTCGAGGTAGTTATCTGCGACGTGGAGTTGTCCCGGCGCCCAGGGAAGGATCCGCAGGTCGTTATCCATCAGGTTCCGGTTCTCTCGGACTGCGATGGTGGGTATGCCCTGCTTTAGGGCGGCGAGGGTTGGGAGTCCGATGCAACCGTCGGGTATGACGATGCACGAGACGTCGGCGGCGTTGAGGACGCTGTGGTGTTGTCTGGCCTGGGGTTCGGTGACTATTTTGGGGCTGGCCTGGAGGCCGTGCAGGATGCACTGGACCATCGCCAGGGAGACGGCTTCGGGCCGCCATGCGGGGATCGGTGATCCCGGGGTCCGCGTTGGCGATCTCGGTGCTCTCGAACATGGGAGAGTGGGCGGAAGGGACTGTTGTAGATGGCGGAGATGGTATGGGTCAGCATGGCCTCGATGCCGCCCCATGGGTTGACCATCTCTCCCCGGAGCTCGAAGTATTGGGCGTGGTACTCTGGGGGCACGTCGATCTGGGAGGTGAGGGCTACGGCATCGTACTGTCCGGCGAGGTGGTCCAGCACGTCGAGTAGGGGTTCCAGCTTGGTGATTTGGCCGGTAGCCCGGCCTGAGGGCGCGTATTTGGAGCGCATGACGGGCCCGTTCTGCATCCGGACGATGGTGGGTTCCGGCATGCCGTAAGAGGTTCGGGCGGCGTTCACGGAATTGATGGCCGCGTGGATGAAGGTGTCGTCGTGATGGGGTCCGACGATGACGAGAAGGCGGTTGTTGCGCGTCCTCTGGATTCCGACGGCGCCCATCATGAGCCGGGATATGACGCTGCCCTCGACGTATAGGGCATTCGGCGGTATCTGGATCAGGT